GAGGGAGGAGGGAGGACGACGACGGCGACAACGACGACAACGACGAGGGAGGAGGGAGGACGGCGACGACGCGAACGACGAAGAAGAAGGAGGAAGGACGGCGACGCCGACGATGACAACGACGCGGAAGGAGGGAAGACGACGACGACGACGACGACGGCGACGAAATAGGAGGGACGAAGACGACAACGACGACGACGGACGACGACGACGACGACGACGAGGGAGGAGGAGGAATGATTACCACGGCGACAACGACGACGAAAACGTCCACGACGCCAAAGAGGACGACGACGACGAACACGAGGGAAGGTAGAGGACGACGACGGCGACGACGACGACGACGCGGGAGGAGGGACGACGGCGACGACGACGACGACACAAGAGCGCGCGCGCACGCTTTCGTTGAAGATCCGTGTTGCGAAACCTCGTGTTTGTGTATGTTTTTTGGACACACGATTTTGAAACCCTTCCGACACCGAAGGTGTTTGAAGGATTTCGGCATGCGCGCGCGACGACGCGCGCGTCTGCACTTCGTCCCATGTTTCGCAGAGGATTCTCGCAACGGCACGCGCGCAAGGGCGTTCGACAGATTTCGACACGCGCGCGCGCGAAGCCCGCTTGGTGACATCTTTTTGAGAATCTTGAAGAACCCATGGTTTTCCTAAGATTTCGCAAGAGCGCGCGCGTAAGCCTGTTTTGCAAATCAGTGTTGGAAAACCATGTGTTGTTGTATGTTTTGTTTGGAAGCTCGATTGTGAAATCCTTCCCAAAACGAGTGTGTTTGAAGGATTTCGGCATGCGCGCGACGACGCGCGCGTGTGCACTTCGTCCCATTTGTTGCAAGGGAGTCGTGACAACTTATGAGTTTGAGAAACGAGTGCGCGCGCATAGTAGTTTTTTGCAGAGGAAGGCGGGGGGAATGATACTGGCCTTGGTATGATGTCATCCTTAAAATGGTTGATGGGGCACAATCATATGTACATTGCCATACGAAAAGGTGCCCCGTTAACTCCGGAGGCTGACATCAAAATAAACAAAATGATCGGAGACTGGGTAAAATGGAAAATCGGGCGGGCCAACGACAAAAACACTACTCCTCCTCCCTCCTCCTCATCCGCCCCCCCTCCTCTTTCTCTTTCTCTCTCTCTCTCTCTTTTTCTCTTTCTCTGTCTCTTTCTCTTTCTCTTTCTCTTTCTCCTCCTCCTCCTCCTTCTGCTCCTCCTCCTCCTCCTCCTCCTCCTCCTCCTCCTCCTCCTCGCACCTCAGGGGTGGGGGTCGAAGGGAACCCGCCCCAGCCGCCCGGGGCGGCGCCTGCCGCCGCCGCCGCGCACCACCTGCAGCAGGGGCGCCACGAACCCGCCAGCGATCCGGACGCCGATCCACGCCTTTTGTCCGCGGGCGGCAGTATGGACCACTTCCCTTCTCCTCCCTCTTCATCTCTCCTCCTACCTCCTTCCCTCCCTTTCCTCCCTCTCCTCCTCTCTCCCTCTCTCCCTCCTCTCCCCCTTCCCTCCCCCTCTCCCTCCCTCCCCCCTCCCTCCTCCCGCTTCCCTCCTCCTCCCTCCCTCCATTTCCTCCTTCTCCTTCTCCTTCCTCCCTCCCTCCTTCACTCCCTCCCTCCCACTCCTCCTTCTGCTCTCTCGCCCCCTCCCTCCCTCCCTCCCCCCCTCCCTCCCTTGCTCCGCAGCCGCGGCACCCGCTGACCTTCGCAGTGGGTGGCCACCACGGCTAGGCACGCGAGGGCCGTCCCAGGGCGCGCATTGAAAGCCTCACCGTGCCTGCGGGCGACACGCCCCTGACCCAGGCCACGGGGGGGTGCCAGGAAGGCGGGGGGGCCGACTGGCTGCAGCAGGGGCGGCCCGGCGGGGAAAGGGAGGCAGGAGAGGGCAGGGGGAGGGCGGGGGGGGAGGGGGACGGGGGACGGGGGGCGGTGATGGTCGTGGGGGGTCGTGCTGGGTGGTCGTAGTGGTGGCCGTGCTGGCGGTGGTCGTGCTGCCGGGCGGCTGTGCAGGTGGTGGTCGTGCTGGGTGGTGGGTCTGCTGGTGGCCAGTCTGCTGGCGGGGCTGGAGGTGGTCTGCTGGCGGTGGTCGCTGGTGGTCGTGCCGGTGGCTGGTCTGCTGGTGGAGCCGGAGGGCCTACTGGTCGGGCTGGTGGTGGACGTGCTGGTGGTCGTGGTCTTCGTGATGGTTAGCAGCTAGCCGTTCTGGCGTTGGTCGTGTTGGTGGCGGTCGTGGTGGACTACTGGCCGAGGGCGCTCAGCACCATCTCGGCGCTCCCCTTGTGAAGGGTCACCGAGAGATGCCGCCACAAGCGGCCGAGGAGTTCCCCCCGCTCGTCTTCCCCCGAGGTCGGCGCCGTAGCTGCGCACGAAGGCCGCCGCCTCCTCGGAGGGCCGCCCCCCAGCCTCGAAGACTATGGGGACCAGCTCGAGGCCCTGCCGCGGAGGATACCGATCCCTCTTGCTGTCGACCACTTGGGCCGCTGCCAGGCCACTCCTGTGGGACCCAGCCTGCCTGCGCAGGTCACGGCCCAGTCCACAAAGATGTGGCGCCCGGTGTTGTGGTCGACGGTGGCCACGTCGAGCTTGGCCTCTTCGAGGCGGCCATTGGGGAGGCGACGATCCCACCCGGGCACGCGTTGCTCGGCGGGGGCAGCGTATCCAGTGAGCGCTGAGTGTCGCTTGGAGTGCCAGTCCCGCAGCTGGTTGTGTCGGTCGTTCCGAGACTCCCCCACTTCGCACTTCCTGGCGTGCCACCCTTTCCGATCGAGCGGCTTGTTGCAGAGTTGCCCAGTGGTCTTGTTCTTGTGCTGGCACAGGGCCTCCTCAGGGCAGACGGGCATGTCCAGCCGCATCTTCAGGTTCGTGAGGAAGCGTTTGTCTGGCTGCGCGGCGTCGCCGGCGCGTCGGGGCAGCAGGAAAGACCCCGCCCCTGTTCCTCCGGCCGAGCGTGGCGAGAGGCGGCCGCCCTCGTCCAGCAGCGTGTCCAGGAGTCGTTTCTTGCTGGCCTCCGAGGCGGCTTTCCCCCAGTGCCCCTGCCGCTTGTGCCGCGGCTCCCGCATGTAGTCCAGCAGGTCAAGCGGTTCTTCTCCGAGCGCGCCAGCGCCCCGGAGCGCCTGCTCCGCTTGGGCGAAAGCTTGGAGGGTGCGCGGGCAGCGGGCGCGAAGCTCTTCCAGGGTGCTGACCCCCAGGCAGGTGGCCACGTCGTGCAGGCAGAGGGCCCATCTGTCGGCGTACGCGGCCGGGGCGGTCTGAGCGGCGGAAGGGGAAGCGCACCCTCCGTCGGAGAGGCGCAGCGTGACTCGCAGGCGCCGCACGTCGTCCAGGGGCTCCGCGAGGAGGTTTTCGAGCGCGGCGAACACCACGTCGTCGAGTTCCTGCGCCCAGCCCGTTTGCAAGCTCGCCCTGAGGAGTGTGTGTGTGGCCTCAGCTGAAAGGCCGGCCGCTCTCAGTTCTCGCAGCCGCGCGGCGAAGGCCCGCGCGCGGGCCACTGCCGCGGCGCCGTCGGCTCCGGCGTGGACCAGGACCCTCGCCAGGGAGCGGCGTTCCCGAGGCAGAGCAGGTTGTCAGCCCGGAAGGCGGCGAGCGCAGCTGGCAGCGGGGCCCCGCGGTCGGCTGCCCAGGCTTTCGTCTTGTCAGGAAAACCTGAGGCGGACTGTGAAACACTCATTGAACACCGATACCCTCCCCAACGAAAAGGGTTCCTTCTTCAGCGCCCCGTTTGTACCTCACCCACTTTGGATGGCCAGCCCCGCTCGAGAAGCTTCGGCATGGGCGTCCAAGGGCCTAAGGGATTTGCATCCTTGTCGCGCATCCTCACTCGTCGCCGCACCGCTTGTCTTAGACGCGCCCAGAGTGGACGACGCTGGCACCACGGCAAACGCACGGCAAGCCCATGCGCCCCGCGCCCAAGTAGTAGTCGAAGCCGGCACCGCGGCAAACCCAACGGCACGCCCACTGCGTCCGAGGCGGGCAAGGTGCCCGCGGCGCCCTCCCCAAGACGGAAGGCCGCGCCGCGCGTCGGAACAAGCGGCGCGGCGACGCACCAGCTTTGAGAGCACGGTGCGCAGCTCCCTGGCTGCGGCCCTCAGGGCCGAGAGCCTCAGATCGGCGGGCCCCGAGGGAAACGGGTCCTGGACCCCAGGGACCCTCCCCCAGGATGAGTGGGTGGCGGGCAAACACGGATGAGCGGTCCGTGGAATTGGCGCGCGGTCGCCAAATCCATGGATCGGGGGAGGTACCCTCCCCAAAATGCGACCGGTGCCGCCTCGCTCGGCGGCGACAATCTGCGATCTCCCATGGAAACGGGACCCGTCGCCAATCCGCGCCCCCTTAACCCATGCCTGCGATCGCCTGAGTGTGGGCTTCATCTTGAGCCGCTCTGCGACGGCCCCGGGGCCCGCGGAGGGCCCGCGGAGGGCCCGAGAACGGCGACAGGCCTCAGGACCCCCCCCGCGGCAAGCGAGCCCTCGGGGCCCGCCCCCCCGGGCCCGTGTCCCTCTGGACCCCGCGCCCCTCGCGGCGAGGGAGCCCCATAAAAACCCGCTTCCCCCAGGATCCGTCTCTCGCAGGGCCCGTTGTCGGCCAACTCCGCCGGCCGGCTTCCGGGCGCCTGTGAGCGCGTCTGCCCCTCGGCTGCGCGCCCATGCCACGATCGTCCCCCTCCCTCCTTCCCTCTTCCTTCTCATGCCTCCTTCCTCCTTCCTCCTTCCATGTTCCTCCTTCCTCCCTCCTCCTCCTTCCTCCCTCCTCCTTCCTTGTTCCTCCTTCCTCCCTCCTCCTCATCCTCCCTCATTCCTCCTTGCTTGTTCCTCCTTCCTCCCTCCTCCTTCCTTGTTCCTCATTCCTTCCTCCCTCCCTCCCTCCCTCCCTCGCTGTCTCCCTCCCTCCCCGCCACCCCTGGCGTGCCCCCGCCGCCTTCGCGCCCGCGCCGCCCACGGCGGCCATCTCCGCCGCTGGCTCGCCCCGCGCCGGCCGCACCGACAGCGCGGAGGGCAAGCTGGGCGGGGGCAGGTGATCCTCCTCCTCCTCCTCCTCCTGCTGCTGCTGCTGCTGCTGGTCCTCCTCCTGCTCGTCCTCCTCGTCATCGTCTTCCTTGTCTTCCTGCTCTTCCCCCTGCTGCTCCTCCTGTTTCCTCCCTACTTCCTCCTCCTCCTCCTCCTCCTCCTCCTCTTCCTCCTCCTCCTCCTCCTCCTCCTCCTCCTCCTCCTCCTCCCCTTTCCTTGTACACCCCTGCGTAGGGTTAGGAAAATGTTAAGCTAAGAGCATTCGTGATAATAATGGTGGTAACAAGAATACTGATCAAACATGGTAATGATAATGGTACTCGTAGTGATAGTAGTAGTAATAATACTACGAATAACAAACGTAGTAAGCTCTAAGCAACGACCAGGGTCCAGCCCAATGTGTTGGTTCTCGCGAACGAAATGCGAAGTCCATGGAATTTGATGCTCTTCCTTCAAACACCTGAAGGGTGTAAATCACTCCTACCTGTCGCGCCTCCAGACGTGCCGGTAAGGCGAGCAGGGCGTTTCACCTGAGACTTCCTTGCCGTGCATGATCCCGACGCTCAAAAGGTGCAGCAGCTTCAAGGATGAAGGGCGTGTGGTTGTCATACAATGGCTATCGCCTTAGCGCCGCGCACATTCGTCTTTAAAGTTTGCAGCAGATTCACGGATGGAGGGCGGCCCATACTCAAAATGTAGCTATCGGCTTAGCGCCGCGCGCACATTCCTCAAACTTGTGCAGCCGCTTTATGGATGGAGGGAGGTTCCGTTTCAAAATGATGCTCTCGCCCTAGCGTCGCGCACATGTGTTTCAATTGTTTCCAGCAGATTCGAGGATTCGTGTGGCTGATGGCCCAAGAACGGTGTTCTGGTACGATATGGGATTGTCACGACGCACCAATTCCGTTGACTCGCGGTGTCGAAACCCAAAGAATGGCGGTCTGGCACGATCAAATATTGCCAGGACGTCTGTAATCAAGAGGTGTTCTTGTGATGGGGCGCTTCCCGTCATGGACGTCTGGCACTATGCAAGAGTTTGTTGACAAGTGGGCACGTTCCGCACTGAGCAGATTTCCTTGCAAGGGCACATCACGAGGGCATTTGGAGGGAGGGTGTATTGTAACGTTGATGCCTCTTGGATGTATACTGGTCCTCCTCTTCCTTCTCGTCCTCGCCATCCTTATCTTCCTGAACTTCCCCCTGCTGCGCCTCCTACTTCTCCACCTCCTCGTCTGCCTTTTCCTCTGTTTCCCCTCCTCCTCCTCATGATCCCCCCTCGCTCCTCCTCCTCCTCCTCCTCCTCCTCCTCCTCCTCCTCGCCCCCCATCCTCCTCCTCCTCCTCCTCCTCCTCCTCCTCCTCCTCCTCCATCCTCCTCCTCCTCCTCCTCCTCCTCCTCCTCCTCCTCCTCCTCGTCCTCGTCCTCCTCCTCCTCCTCCTCCTCACCCCCCATCCTCCTCCTCCTCCTCCTCCTCCTCCTCCTCCTCCTCCTCCTCCCCTCCTCCTCGTCCTCGTCCTCGTCCTCCTCCTCCTCCTCCTCCTCTCCTCCTCCTCCTCCTCCTCTCTCCTCCCTCCTCGCCCCCCATCCATCCTCCTCCTCCTCCTCCTCCTCCTCCTCCTCCCTCGTCCTCCTCCTCCTCCCTCCTCCTCCTCCTCCTCCTCCTCTCCTCGTCCTCTCCTCCTCCTCCTCCTCCTCCTCCTCGCCCCCCCATCCTCCTCCTCCTCCTCCTCTCCTCCTCCACCTTGTCCTCCTCCTTCCCGCCTCCGTCCCTCTCCCTTCGCCCGCTCTCCTGCGCTGGGCCCTCGCTCTCCCGGTGCTCCCGCGCCGGGCACACGCTTGCAGCACAGCACCGTCGTATTCCTCCTCCCGTCCTCCTCCCGCCTCACTTTTTGGTTGTTTTTGTTGTTTCTCTCTCTCTCTCTCTATTGTCTTTTTTTGTTGTTCTCCCTCTCTCTCTCTCGTTCTCTTGTTTTGTGTTGTTTTCTCTCTCCCTCTCGTTGTTTTTTTTTGTCTCTCTCTCTCTCTCTCTCTTGTTTTTTTGTTGTTCTCTCTCTCTCTCTCTCTGTCCACCTGCCTTGTGCATATGACGTGCCCCATCCCGCTCAACTGCATCCTCCCACCCGCCCTCCGCAGCTGGGTGTGAACTGCGATGCCGCCGCCGGCTTCGAGGGATCACGGGGTGGGAGCGGCGGAGTGACGCCATACGTGCATCAGAATGAGATGTTGTCCTCCCTGGGGGGCTACGAACTGCAACACCGTCGCCGTTGTCGTGGGCTCGTGGGTAGCTCAGCGGAGGAGGAGGAGGAGGAGGAGGAGGAGGAGGAGGAGGAGGTGGAGGAGGAGGAGGAGGAGGGGGAGGAGGAGGAGGAGGAGGAGGAGGAATGAGGAGGAGGAGGAGGAGGCGGAGGAGGGGGGAAGGGAGGAGGAGGAGGAGGAGTCGCGAGCCCATGGAGCGACGCGCCGAGTCGGAAGCGGGACGGAACAGGGGGCAGGAAAAGGAAAGAAACGCGCAATCGAGCACACAGCGATTTCGGGCCCCAGGGCGCATTGGCCCAGCCGAAGCATCACGGCCGCGACAAGAGGTCCCGAGGGAAACGCCCAGGATCGGGGGCCAGGGACCGAAACGACCGAGGGCGGACAAAACAAAACGAGTTAGCAAAACACTAAATGGAAAGGAGGCCGAGCCACTGGACTGCCGAGTCCGTGACCTCGAGCCTGCGGGGGATCGGAATGGGTGGGGCCTTCCCCCCCTTTGGGTGGGTGCCCTTCATCCCGCCTCCACTTCCGCTGGGGATTATCTTTAAGGGCAGCCTCAGGGTCACACTCCCAAAACAATTGCGTGCGCGCCGTTCTGGCCGAGAACGCCCCACACTTGCTGCACCCCACAAGGTCCCCAGACAGATAAAGGACATGGCCCCGAGCGCTCGCGGGAGGGACCTCCCCCGATCGCGGCAACGGGGCCCTGGGCACCACCGCGTCAGCTCTGGACGGCGGCGTGCCCTTCCACGCTCTCTTCACGCCCCGCGAAGTCGCCGCACCCATCGCGCCCCTTAAGGCCTCCTGGGGCCGCTCTGGTCCCTCCAGGACCTCCGCGAACCGGACCCTCGGACGAGGAGCGACGGGGGTCGGCGGCGACGGCGAGGAAGGGGGATGCGAGGCGAGGTGAGGCGAGGGAGGTCGAAGCGAGGGAGGAAGAGAGGGGTGGGCCTCTGGAGTTCCAGCAAGCCCTTGGGGAGCGTCCTCCATCGATCCAGAACGGCGCTCACGTTCGAGCGAGGTGAGGACCGAGGGGGAAGGAGGCTCCACAGAAGGAGGAGGGGGAGAAGTCGGGGGGGAGGTGGCCCGAGGTCTAACATCCCTGTGAGACGGAGACGCCCCGCCCTCCAGACGTCGACGTCCTCCTCCTCCTCTGGTTGGGCAAACCTCCCTCCTGAGCCTCTCGAGGCCTCTACGCGTTCTGGCAAATCGAGGGCAGCGCTGGCATCGCCAGCCGCGCCCTGCCGCTACTACCTGGTGTCTTTTACTCAGCTCACGCCCGCAGAGGCCGTCTGATCCAGCCGCCTGCGCCCGAGCAGGCTGCACGCGCCCGCCGCGGCGGGCCTTCCTGCCCACGGTGGCGACCCTGTCGAGCTGGTCGCCGTCGCCGATGTCCACCTGGCAGTTGCCTATCCAGGCAGCGACCTGCCTGAGCGCCTTGAGCAACCGCTTGTGCTCTTCGTAAGCGCTCTCAGGGAAACCGTGGAGCGCCGTGCCCTTCTTGGCGGCCACGTCCGCGAAGTCGTTGCCAACCTTGTCGATGCTGTCGCCTGCCTCCATGGACGACTGATGGCCCTCGACCCAGGTGATCCGCAGGTCTTCGCTGAGCCCGCCCAAATCCTCGATCGCATGCCAGAGCTGCCGCCACAGGTCTGCGTTGTCCCTCCTCACGTGCGCGCAATGCTCCTTGCCGAACGCCAAAGACTCAACGAGGCCCAGACAGTCGGTCTTGATGTGCAGTGGGAGGCGACCGTGCTTGAGCACCTGGAGCACGGCATAGATCTCACCCCGCTGGGCTGTCTGCTGGGGCCCTGGCAAGGGGCCGAAGGCCATGCCGCGGAGCCGCCTGCCTGCTAGGATGGCAATGCCCCACCCTGCACGGCTCGCCTCGGGCCAGTATAATGGCGACGCGGCCGATCCATCAGTGAACACTTCGCCTGTGATGTCCATGTCCTGGCCTCCGCTGCAGTACCACCACCTCTGCGTGTCCAAAGGCGGCGGAATATCTGGGAGAACTGCCCGAGGAAGCAGCGCCCTGGTGTAGAAGAGGTCATTAGGGGAAGCTTCTTTAGCCATGCCCACTATCAAATCCTCCACAGCAGCTGCTCTCATATCAGCACAACGGGGGCATTTCCAAAACCTGTGGTGTAAATCGCCAACATCGTCCCCGCAATACTGGCACATCTGAGAGCCCGCGTAGCCCATGGTGTAGAGGCGCCGTTGTGACCATTGCGCTCCAATAGTGGTGGACCTGAGGGCGCCTCTGGCCTTGGGCTGGAAATTCCAAGTAGTCGCCTCAGGATGTGCGTGCATCATGGCTGCGATCGGCTCGATCCAACAACCTCTCGGGTCGCGTGGGGCAGGTGGGTGTTCTGCTGCATGTTCCGCTTTGGATGATCACTCCTCCCACTTCACCGATCTATAGCTGCGCCTCGCCATCGTGCGCACCCACTTGGGTGCCACCTCGTACAGCTTCAGCGTGATGCCGTTGCCCGTCTCCCAGTGCGTGGCTGAATGTGCCCTCCAGCCCAAACGCCTGAGGTTGATGATGGCGGCGCCTGCAGGTCCCGAGATGGAGCTCCATGGGGTCGATGCCGATGCCAAGGCTGCCGATTGAATCTGCCAGGCGCGCTCAATCGTGTCCATGGGGATCTTTTGGTCGAACACCAACTGCGCCCAGGTGAAGATGGGCTCCACGGTCGCCATCGCATCAGGCATCTGGTTGGGACCTTCTTCC